AATGGATTATAACTATGTAATCAGATTTATTTTAATTTAGATTTCAATCAATTTCTTAAATTTTAGTCGATTAAGAGATTTCAATCTGATGTACTACAAAATAATCAGTTACAATTGATTATAATCATGTAATCGAATTTAATTTAATTGAGATGTTAATCAATTTCTAGGATTTCATTTGATTATGAGATTTTAGTTTGATTAAATAGAAAATAATCAGTTATACTTGATGATAATCCAAAATCGAATTATATTTGATTAGAATTTTAACCAATTTTTTGATTTTTAACTGATTATAAGATTTTCATCCGGTTTACTGCAAGGTAATCAATTATAATCGATTGACAATCACGAAACTAGATTAGATTTGATTGAAATTTCAATCGATTGAGTTGATTATAATCAATTTTATGAATTTCATCGAATTTAGTGTCAAAAAATCGACTAAAATCAGCGAAAAATGATTTTTTTTAAATCGATTATGAAAAATAATCGATTATAATCCGATTCTTCTGAAAAAAGAGACTTTTTCTAGAAATAATCTGATTAGCTTGCTCATAATCCGAAATAATCATGATTTTTTGACCGAAATTTTTCACTGGGGTCTTTCATTTGATTTTGAAAGCAGTCACAAACATGTTCATGAGTTATTTTTTGACGCTTTGTGTAAGAGTGAGGATTTGAATGTGTGTATGAGCGATGAACGCAATAATTACATGTTTTCACAATCATCTGCATCTTTATCTTTCGCGTAATATCTGTTGTAAGATATGAAATTCAGAAAGAACAATTAACTTGTTAGCTCTATACATCAACATCCCTTAGAATTTATTTTCATATAAACAAAATCACTTTCTTCTTCTATATATAAACTAAATCTTTATTTCTATAATTCTTTTTAAGTGATGAGCACGAATGAACGCGTTCGAGCATTACTCAAAAAAACAAAGCATTCCTTTTTAAATTTCGATATTTTTCCATCTGCTGAACCAACTATCGACGAACATCAACTTCGAAATCAACGCATTTCAACAAGATTATTCATCATTTTATTAACTATATCATTATCTATTCTCGTCTTATATACGTCACTGGTACATATTACAGGAACAGTTAATGTCAAAACACCTTCTATTCAAGAATATGAGCAACTCTATAACTCATATAATCAAACATTAACATGTGAATGTACACAAATATCAATCAACTATGAAAAGTTTATTCAAATCCAATATACATTACATCAAGTATGTTATAGTGACTTTGTTACACAAAAATGGATTAATTATCTTGCCACCAGTAATGTAACCTATGGCAAATATACAGATGATTTTCGATCGTCAGGTACATATGTATTTCAAACTATAAGCGCATTTTGTACACTAGTGAATCAAACAATATTGAATCGTTTAACTGAGTTCAATTCAAGTCAATATGTAAGTGCGTCTGTGACACCCTCGAGTATATTTCAACTGCAAACTAATGCATTTATATCTCAATTCAAATCATCAACAAGAATTGATTTTTTGTTATCACTTTCCATGATACGAAACATAACACAAAGTAACGCCTTATTCAGTGGTAGACTAACTAATTACGCACCTTATATAACGGCCGGTGTTATAACTCGATATCCAGCGGTATACGGTAATTGTACGTGTTCTTATTCAGCTACATGCATTAGTCAATCTCCAATTTACAATTTATTGAATGGCAAACGATTATTCTATGTTCCTGGTCTTTATACTGGATGTTATGTAATCGAATCATTACTTCAGTCTGGTCTTCAGTGTTTCTATAATCAAACATGCATCAATAAACTGCAATCATATTTTCAAGTATCTTCACTTATGAATGTGACAGCTCTGAATGCGTCATTGTCCGTCCAGTTTTTGGCAAATTCAACAATTGCAGATGTTCTTGAACAATTGATGGTTGAAGAATGGAATAATTCCAGTATGTATGAAAACTATTATAGTGAATGTCAACCGTCAGCCTGTAGTTATACTGTTACGTCGAAGAATAGCGTAATATATATTGTTACAACTCTGATTGGATTAATTGGCGGTTTGATTACAGTATTGAAACTGATGGTGCCATATTTAGTTGAGTTCATTATGTTTTGTATTAAAAAGTGCAAAGGTAGACGTACTACAATAACACCACTGATCCAAACATAATTGGTTTTTACGTTGACGCGAAACACATTGCAAATGAAAAACTCCGATGTACAATAAAAATACTGGAACTATGATGATTTTTCGATAGAAATGTTAGAGAATTATGTATATTATCCTTTTCATGTCTGTCACGTATATCTTCTCTTTCTGTTCTGTTCACATTTCCTTATCTTTATTCGTTATCTTCATATTGTTTGACTTTTGTTTTCTCATTTCATTATCTTTCCAGTTGCATCAGTTTATCTTTGTAATACTGTCTAGTTATTGTTCAGCTTCAGCTTTGATCGTATACGATATATATAGTGCTGATTTCTTTTCAATAAAAGATCATCACACATCCACTACCCTTTACTGATCTTTTGAGTTAGTCACTTAGAGTGCTTTCAACTTCCTATAGAGGGGTACGCTATCAAGAAAAATAAAGACAATTGATTAATGTTCCCGCATAGAAAGGTCGCTTGTCCAGTATATTGAATAAAACACTGATATTTTTGTGTTACTGGTAAAAATTTTGTCAGTCTAGCCCGTTTGCAGCTAAAATATGGAATTCACATGAGATGTTTCGTTTCAGCATAGTGTTGCAAAATACATACAGGATGTGGGTGTAGATGTTCGTCACTATCATCGCTCAATCCACACCAATCTTACTAAAAAGTAGTTTTATTGTTAGAGTGGGATGCATTTATTAAATCATTTTTTTTGCGAATTGGATTGACCGTTCTATTTTACAATTGATAAGTATATGATTGTTTTTCTCAAATTACTGAATATTTCTTAGGAGCGTCATCTCCTTCACCACAACACACATTCAGTTTTGAAATCCAGGAACTTTATTTACTAATTTTGTAAAAAATACAACAAAAGAAAAATATACACATCGTAATTACTAACTATGTGCTTGTTATAGAAACATATCCGATATTAGCATTTACGGCTTTTTTTTTCTTTTTTGTTCCCATACAAGAAATTCATTAATTTCACGTAAGGCGTCAGTACTAGTTCCATTCTCCGCAAGATTTATTGAGATAAGTGTCTAAATGAAAAAGTGCAGGTAAAGACACGATATAGATAAAAAGGGAATGAGAATTACCGCGTTGTGTTGTAATGTATCAGTCAAATGTTGTGCTCGAATATGTCCGATTTCATTAAATCAGAGATCTAGTGTGGTGAGTGTCTAGCTGAAAAACTGGTATTAAAAAAATGGTATAAATGAAGAGACAGAACAATCGGTAGCTGTTATCTGAGGTGAGGTCAGTGAAATGAATGTTGGTATAACTTAATTGAAGAGCGTATGGATATGAGTTCGAATATTTTTTTGATTTTATATATTGTACAGTGCACGAGATTGTCGAATGAAAAGCTTTACTAGAATGAAGTTACTGAGCGTGACACATGCATAGCAATTTTTATTTATGAGTTGCTGTAATTCTTAAATGTTTGTAAAAGAAGGAAATTTTTCTGGTTGATGATTAATAATGTGTCTGTTGCTTTTGTGCAAGACAATGGTAAAGCGTTGTATTATGTGACTATCTTGAGGGTGTGAGTCAATTTTCTCTTCGTTCATATCTACTGTCTCATATACCTACAATTGCCGATGCTCTTAAAGAAGCATTTATCGAAGATATTTTTAGGATGTTATTTATAAGCAGATGAATTAGTTCATCGACTGTCAATCTCTTTCAAAATCTGATTTTTATTATCGAAATGGTGTAAAAAAAAGTATTTATATATGCATATAAAAAAGAGTAAGATTTTTTTCTTTTCTTTTCTCGTTCTTATTCAAATATTGTATGTATATGATATCATAACTGATTTTTAACGTTGAATATTTAGATAAGATTGCAAAAAAAAA